GAGGATGGGGACAGGGCACGTAGCCGCATCTCTAGACTGGGGGCATTGCCCAACCCATGAGGTTGCAGGAACATCAGATGAGACCCCTGATGAAAGAGCTTTCTCCCGCTAAACGCTGCACAGGCGAAAGATTGCAGTATTGATGAAACCTTAATTCTTGGCAAAATACTCAACAATTATTTGTCCTAACTACGTTTGCTGGTTTCTCACATTGAGACTCAAAATGCTAACTGTCTGTTTGTTGAGAAAATGTTGGTTAGTTTGTAAATTAAAAAAAAAAAAATAATAATAATAATAGTTTCGGTTGATCTTGAAAATAATAATTTCGATTGTTAACAACTGTACTCACCCCAGTGATTGATTGATTGATTGATTTTAAATATATTTTATTTATTTTTTACAGAGAGGAAGGGAGAGGGATAGAGAGTTAGAAACATTGATGAGAGAGAAACATCGATCAGTTGCCTCTTGCACACCCCGCCACCCCCCGGGGATGTACTCGCAACTAATGTACATGTCCGTGACCGCAATGGAACCTGGGACCGTTGAGTCCGCAGGCCAATGCTCTATCCACTGAGCCAAACCCGTTTTCAGCAACCCCAGTGATTTATAATCATCATGTGTCTCATTGTTAGTGTGGCTCTTACTTGTACAAAGTTGATCAGCAGAAATGAAATAAGCATCATTTTGAAAGGACATCAATCCCCTTCGCGTTAAACTAATGTTATTAGTGGAGTTATTAGGAGAGTTTTCTTAGCCATTGCTCTCATAAGTGGAAGGGAGAAAATACCTGTTGTCCTCAAGGCAACAGGAAAGTGATATCAGGTGAGCCCTTCAGTTCTTAGAGGCTGTCAGCTGTCCCGTGGCATTTAAGCTAAGCGCTCTTTGGTGAGTTAGAGCTAATTAATCCACATACACTCTTAGTTCTCATGTGGGCTCTTACGTTCGCTGTTCAAAACACTAGTATATGCTTGTTGATCTTGTGCTTGTGACTTTTGTTGTGGTGAGTTATTTTCAAAGGCCTTTTCTTGCTTTTAGACTCTGTGTGTTGAGAGATAAGGAAATGGTTTGTGTTGGCAGAGTTAGGCTCTGAGCCTCCCTGGTCCCGGGAGCTGTCATTCCTGTGTGTACGTGATACCCTGGAGGGAGCTGTCCCAGAATCAATATTTGCAGAGGAAATCTCTCCCAGCCCACTCTTATTCTGATCAGATAAAAGAAGAAAACTGGGCTCAGAAATCTAAATAACTGCTTCCTCCACCTCCCACCCATGAGCCGCACCAGTAGGAGACATCGAGAGAGAAACTGCCTCCTTCGTTATATCAATCTTCATCCAGAAGGGTCATAGAGCACTCCCTTTTGGCTGACTGTGTATTTCATACGTGAGACTTCCTGGGGGAAATCATAGATCCTTAAAAAGGCCACTATAAATTGAGTTTTTGTTCTCAACTAGTAGATATGAACCACTGGCTAAAATGCATTTTGGGAGTCATAATTTTTTAGTATTTCCAATAAAACTTCTCGGTGTTGGAAGAGACTGGGTGATGAAGGTGCTGTGGTGAGGGTGCCCCAGCCCGGGGAGAGCCCCTCTGCGATGCCGAGTGAGATCCGATGCTGAGTTCCTTTGCCAAGTCCTTTAGCTTGCTTGTGTGTCTGATGTTTTGCTCTGTTAGCCAAAGCGTAATGCAGGGCAACAGATACTGATGTCTTCAAAGATGTGACCAAAAAGAATGCAGCACTGTTAGTGGGGAGAAGCTAGAACTCTAGGACTGGATTTCCCTCCCAAATATGCTTTTGTGCTAATCTCTTTCCCTTTGAGTCTCTTTATGTGTATTGAGAATTTGGCCTCGCTCTAGTTGGTGTTTCTCAGTGGTTAGAGCATTGGCCAGGGCACCAAAGGATCATGAATTCGATTCTCAGTCAAGGGCACATCACCACATACCTGGGTTGCAGGTTCACTCCTCACTTTCTGCCCTCAGTTGGAGTGCATGCAGGAGGCAACCAGTCCATGTCTGTCTGTCTGTCTGTCTGTCTGTCTGTCTGTCTCTCTCTCTCTTTCCATTCCATCCTTTCCTCCCTTCCACTCTCTAAAAAATTCAATGGAAAAAATATCTTCAGGTGAGGACTAACAAAATAAATAATTTTGCCTTAAAACTCAAAAAGTAGCCGAAACCGGTTTGGTTCAATGGATAGGGCGTCGGCTTGGGGACTGAAAGGTCCCCGGTTCGATTCCGGTCAAGGGCATGTACCTTGGTTACGGGCATATCCCCAGTAGGTGGTGTGCAAGAGGCAGCTGATCAATGACTCTCTCTCATCGATGTTTCTAACTCTCTAACTCTCTCCCTTCCTTTCTGTACAAAATCAATAAAATATATATATATATATTTTTAAAAACTCAAAAAGTAGTGTTAACTCTCAATTCTGACGTTATCATTGTTCTACATGTCCTATTTCTTAGTATAATAAGGCAAGGAAAAGAAATGCCTCTACCCCAAAGCATTGTTGTTTTAAAAACATAAACTTAATAGGTTACAAAAAAATCCAAAAATTAATTTTCTTCACTTTCATGGACACTTAAACTTGAATGAACAAAAATTCAAATGAAGCATAGATTAATTATGCCATGATATTCTTGGTACTTCCTGTGGATGAAGTTGTCTCACATGGGTATAGTATCAGATTGCCCCCCCCCCCAAGAAAACTACTCCCCATTATGGGATGAGGAAAGAATTCTTATACTAATTCAATTTACTAGGTGGAGTTCCTTACTTCTCCAGCCCATTGCATTTTTAAGTGGATTTTAGGATGTTAGTCTATATTTTATATTTTCCTTTGTATTTTCCTTCAGTTTTGCAGAGAAAACATGTTTTTCTTTATTCTTAAATTTCCTCCTAATCAGACCACAGTAGCAACAGGACGCCTTTGAAAGAGCATGAATGGAACTTTTTGCTGGAAACCGAATAGCTTCTGCCCACATTCACTGTTCATGCCTTTTGATGCTTGGCGGGTAGGAGTTACCCTAGGTATCCACAGAGTTCAACAGAATTCCCCTCTGCTTTTTTCATAAATAGGTATGAAAGGCAGGACTTACATAAGTAGGTGTAGTCAAGCCGTGCCATTTTGGTCACTTGGGGAGGAATTGTTCATCCCAGCAGCAGTGACAGAGCACATCCTGTGTACATGGCATTTAGGCGGCCATAAGAGGCTTGCAAAAGCAAAAAGTACATGAGATGATATTTTTAGAAATACAGAGCAGAAAGCATCATATTTAAAAGTATATAAAACAATGCAAAGACTGAGTCTGGAAGTATATGGGGTGACCTCACTGTCAGCAGGGTTGGTATGTTTTTGGTCTGGGTGGGCTTTTTATGGGTTTGCTTTTAATGGAGAGGACAAAAAGAATGAATGGTATGATGGATATGAGCAATAACTCATTCTACTTAGGAGTCATCCTTGCTTGTTTCTCCTCCCTCTTGCTCCCCACCCCCATAATCAAATCGTTGGCAAATCGTGTCCATTTTGTCTAAAAATACAACTCAAATCCTCTGTGTTTCTTCAGCTCCTTGCCCCTCCCTGGCCTGAGCCTATGTCCTCTCCAGCCAGGATGGGAGCACAGTCACCTAATGGGTCTCTCTGCCTCCTTCCTATCTTGACTCTCGTAAGTCTGTTCTCCACAAAGAAGACAAAAAGCACTTTCGAAAAAAATATGTCCAGTCATGCAATTCCCAATGTTAAACTTCTTAGTGCTTCTCCTCGTCCTCAGACTAGAGTTTGAATCTGCTGTGGTCTGCACTCTCTCTGGGATTGTCTCATCCCATCACCCACCCCTGCCATGGGTGGCTCTATCTCAGCCTTCAGGTCTTACACCAAATGTTACTTCTTTTGAGAAGCACCCCACACACACACACACACACACACACCTCCTCTCCAGATGACCTCTCCCACATGGTTTTCTGTCACTTCCCCATTTATCATGATCTTTAATTTTTTACAATTATTGTTGCTATTGCTATTATTAGTTGTAGTAGTGGTTATTGCTCATTGGCTGTCTCCCCAGCTAGTGTGTGTACTTCATGAGGTCAGAAGTGTATCTGTCTTGTGTGCCAGGCATATTATAGATGCTCAATAAATATTGGTTAAAATGGAAGAGCAAGCTATATAAGGAGAAAAATAATGAAATCACTGTGCCTGCATCAGAGTTGGGTACCATATGTTTTGGTGTTGAATATCAGGGTGAAGTTGGAGATTAGGAGGAAGCTAGAGAGTTCAAGGTAGACCTCCAATGATGAACAGAGTTCGGACTCAATATGATAAGCAATACATAGGCCAAAACATGGCACTTGTTACATTTTTTTAGATTGATTGTTTTAGCAGGTATTGTTTCTCCCCCCCCCCCATTTCCTTACCCCCACCCCACCCCCACCACTGGACTGAGTTAGGAAGAAGTTGGAAGCAGGGGCTTTGTGGTCAGAGTCTCTTGCACCAGCACAGAAAGGGAGCCGAGGACTTGGATAGGGAGATGCTGGGGGAATGTGGGAGACGAGGTGGACTCAAGGCTTCACGGTTCAGAATTTTGTGGTCACCGTGATTGAGCAACCCAAATATACAATATTGTGCTTCTTTCATTATATAATACTAAACTCTTAGCAAAAAAAGAAATCACATTAACATGACGTTCTCATGTGGACTTAATAAAAGCCTTCATCTACACCCCAACTTCCCTTTGGGTGAAAAATGAAACTGACATGATGATGTCTTGCTTGTTAGGTTTTGGTGAAAAGGAGAATGAGATCTAAGTTTCCCATTGCCCTTGACTTGACAAATGAGATGTATAGACCAGTTCCACCGATTTAACTTTCTATCCAAGTAATAGTACCAATATTTAACATGTTGTGGATCTACCTACTATTTTTTCCCTGTCAAATTGCTACCAGAAAATGATTTGATAGAATTTTCTGAGGATGCTGCATGTGTTTAATATGGTTCTTTTTTATTTATTTAAGCAATTGAACAAGACGAGGAGAGCAGTGACAAGCACATACCCACGGCAGAAGCTGACGGTGCTCCAGATCCTCAGGTAGGACCAGTCCCGGGACAGCCCTTCAGGGCCCCTTTCTTTGTGTTGAGAGAGGTGAGAGAGTGCAGGTTTTGTGTTTTGGAAAAATAGTCACATCATGTAATGTGTGGCATTTAAAGGGCTTTAGTGGGGACAACGGGAAGAGAAGTAGAACAGGTGACTCTTCTGTAAGTCTCCAATATAAAGACAGTTTTTGCAAGTCCCCAATAGTTCAATCTACTTCTCAGAATTCCACTGCCCTCAACACCCAGCTATAGCATTATCTGATACGGCTCAATAGCTAGCTACCTTAAGCTGGGGTCTTAACCCTTTTGAATTTTAGATTACTCACCCATAAACCTACCTGATAGAACAGTTGTGAGTATTAAAGAGAACAGTATGTGAAATAGCTAAGCCAATGTTGGATTTTATTATATATGAGAACACAAAAGGGGTGTTCCCAGGGAATCTACCGTGCTAGGTACTATAGAAAATAGGTGATCTTTTAAATTCTCTAGATTAGAATTTATTAGAATTTGCTTATTCTGGGTTGTTTTTGTTTGTTTGTTTGTTTTTTAGTTCTTTGTTATCTGTCAACTTTGCTGCCCTGCTTAGCAGCTTAGCTGTATGGTCAATAATATACACAGATCTGAGCTGTACTTTCACATCAACACAAGATAAAATATTGGTGACCTCCCTATTCTAGTCTGAAAGTTCAAGAAGGAACCAAATATATGTAATAAGTGAACCCCTCGCTTTGTCAGTTATGTAAATACCTATATATATATATATATGTGAAGATGCCACCAGCCAGGCCTAGGGACCCTAAATATATTATACTAGAGGCCCAGTGCACAAATTTCTAGTATAATATATTTAATTTCATCAGAAGAGAAAATTATACGAGTATATTACATTAAGAAAATATTTGAGGGAAATCACAGTAACAAATTCATGTAACCATGGTTTTGGCCTTCTCCCCTGATTCCTGCATGCTCTTACAGGCCATAGTATCACATAGTGTTTGTATAGGATGGGTCTCTCCACTCGATGTGCTGTGTTAACACCAGTAATTCTACAAAAGAAGAGGACCAGAGGAATGGCCCACCCTGGACTTGCTTTGCCTCACTTGTAGCGTGAGGGTCTGGGAGGCACTAGATGATTTCTGAGACCCTGAGATGCACAGCATGGTGGTCCAGGCCTGTCCTAGGGATGCTTCGGGCATTTCGAACCCGCCTTTGCCAGCATACTTCCTCTCAAATGCAGGTTCACTCTGCATGCTCCTTGGTCCTTCCCAGTTATCAAAGAGGATATTCTCCTACCCCAATCAGGAAGAAATTTTCCTTAGTTTTCTTCCTTTCTCTGAAGAAATTTGAGAAAATGAATACTTGCTTCCCTAATATATGACTAATAACATATAAGTAATAATGTTACTTATTATTATTAATTGCCTTCTAAATTTTCCTGGAAAGAATTCTTAATATTTTCTGTGTTGCAAATACATACAGACAATTGAGTGATGTAGTATATCATCCCAGCCCATCAGTGTTTTATTCTGCCATTTGGATCATCTGCCATTTGTTTAGAAGAGCAAAAAGTTTTTTATGAAAAAAAAAATTTGTTTTTTATGAAATTCAATTCATGATTTAATTTTTAGAGAAATGAATTTATTACATAATAATTGATAAGAATTCCTAGGTTTGTATGGAATCACATTCTGTAATTGTTAACGGGCTTCATGGGAGACAAACTCTTCCATCCTGATTTTCTCTGGATGGCAGTTTTTGCATGCTGTTTTTTCTAAGTGGTTTTTAAAAGTACAATAATGTAGAATATGTTTCAGACATAAACTGTGTTCTTTCACCTTTGTCATAAAGGTTATTCATTTATCATCATTTATCATCATAGTTCCTAAGGGAATCCTGTCCAAATTTCATTTTGCCACTGAAAAATGAGCCCAACATTCTTATGACTCCATTTCAGACTTTTCACTTACATTCCTAACATTTCTCTTCTCAAATATTGAAAATCATGAATTGCTTTAATTATACATTACACAGATTTGTTTTTCCAAAGCAGACCTTGAAATGAGTGAGGCTCTTCAATAACTCTTCTGACCCTTACACATTAATTTTTTTCTGGCTCAATAGTGTTAGGTAAACTGTTTATAATTAATTTCACATAAATAAGTCAAGTAGTCCCGGCATGTGAAAGTCTAGAGCAAAAGCTGTTAGTTGTCTTGCTTCTCCTGCCAGAGCAAAGTTCTTAAAGTGTATTAATAAAGTCAGAGGTTTTTGGAATCAGATCATTAAATTATGGAGTTTTGAAAGGGAGTTCTAGAAAACACCCAGCTCAGTGTGGTACTTCCAAAGAGAGCCAGCCACCTTACAGAATGAGAGAAGGATGTGTGGCCATCGCTCTGGACTAAAAGTTCTCCGGGGAACAAAGAAGCCTCTTTTGATAGTAAGTGTTATGTAAGGATTGCTTAGAACTGATTATCTTGTGAAAATGCATCTGGGAATGAGGTGGAAACCAGAAAATCAAGACAACAGTATTCCTTTTTAAATCATCGGATGACATAATTATCAATATAAAATAATTAAGTCAATCTGAAACCCATTTTTTTTAAGTCACAGCATTTCGTGTTTAAAATACATAATTTGTGCACCCAAGTATCAGGTTCTAATAAATATGTATTTCCTTAAGAAAGCAAAGTCGGTACCTAGAATCCTAAGCACATGATGTATGAAGAATGGCTCGAGTTCCTTAAAAACTCATGTGACACAGAAAACCCCCAAATAGTCAAGGTTTCTTAAATTTCCTCCACTCAGTCCCACCCTTTTCTCGTTGATGATATTATAAGGGACCCACACACAGAAGGAAAGATTCTCTCTTCAAATTGTAGCCTCGGGGGACTTAGCCTGGTGGCTGGTGAGCCTGTGCTGGTGAGAAGAGGTAACAGGCTCGTTCCCGCTGCCAAATGAGATGGCTCTGTGGTGCTTTCTCCTATGCATCACCCCAGCCTGCCACATCCCTACACGTGCCCTTCAGACTCTTACCAGGAGCAGAGGGACGAGGACTAACCCCTCACTCTACTGAACAGACACCCAGGGTACGAGGTCACTAGCCTGCTCTCTCCACTATCAGGACAGTATTTACAACTTAGGATGACATGGGTGGAAAGAGAAGAAATCACAGATGGTCGACATAAATGAACTTTCTAGATAAGAGAAACTTAATCATTTAAATGTCAAAACATTTAAATAATGTTCATCATTTTGGTGTAGAAATTTCTCTGAGTAGTTGTTCACTACTATATCCCAGGAACCTATGGTCGACCTTGAAACATGATTGTTTCTCAAATAAAATCTATTGCAAACCCTAACTGGTTTGGCTCAGTGGATAGAGCATCAGCCTGCAGACTGAAGGGTCCCAGATTCGATTTCAGTCAAGGGCATGCACCTTGGTTGTGAGCACATCCCCAGTAGGAGGTGTGCAAGAGGCAGCTGGACAAAAGTCATATACCTATGGATGAGGACAACGGGGGGCGGGGGGGGAGGGACATAAGAGCAGAGGGTGGAGTGAGGACCAGGTGGAGGGGAGCTATGGGGGTAGGGGAAGGAGAAACAATTGTAATAATCTGAACAATAAAGATTTATTAGAAAGAAAGAAAAAGAAAGAAAGAAAGAAAGAAAGAAAGAAAGAAAGAAAGAAAGAAAGAAAGAAAGAAAGAAAGAAAGAAAGAAAGAAAGAAAGAAAGAAAGAGTTTCAGTTGCTTAAATGGGTTGAAGTTCAGAGGTTTAAGAATTTTGTCCAGTGTGAAGGGGACTTTCCACGAACGCTGACTCTCCAAAGCACACAGGCTGCCCTGAGATAAACAGATGCCTGTCCAACCTCAGACAGGAAGTGGAATACCTCTTCTGAGGATGTTGTAAATATAAATCTCGGACTTGGGTGAAGGAATTCCACTTGCTGACCTCTGGGAGTTGGTGATTCAGGCCACTTTGTGGACTTTTTTTGTTTCCTTCCTAGTTGTCAGAGAACCTGCCAGATAAGCAGATGTCCTTGCCCCTGGGAGTAAAGATTTAGCCATCGCTTGGCGTGTGTGGTCTCATTTCTCTGATGCCCACTCAACAAAATGGGTGCCTTTACCACTGTTAAGACCATGGCACTGCCCCTCTTCCATATTTGGTTATGCCCCTCTTCCATATTTGGTTATGTTGCTGAGTTGATTTAAATGCTATATTGGGTAAAACAAAAATTCCAGTTTGGGCTGTTCCTGCTAGGAGAACTTTAGATTTCTTTATTAGATCATGTCTTGATATGTCAATATGAAGCCTTTTTTAAAGAATTTGAACAGAAACAGTTCATAACCTGTGTTATAACAAACATTTTTTTTTGTCTAATCAAAGTCCTAGATTCTTCTCCATATTATTATTACTCAGGTACTTTGGCGTAATAAAAAATACGATTTTTTTATGAATCATTTCCAAACCCTGATGAAATTTTAAGCCCTTTATTTCAAATTTGTTTGTTTTTGTCAATCCCATTGATTTTTAGAGAGGAAGGGAAGATAAGAAGGAGGAAGAGGGATAGGGAGAAAGAAGGGGAGGCGGAGGGGGAAGGAGAGGGGGAAGGGGAGGAAGAGGTGGGGAGAGAGAGAGAGAGAGAGAGAGAGAGAGAGAGAGAGAGAGAGGGAGAGGGAGGGGGGGGGCATCAATATGAGAGAGACACATCGATTGATTGCCTCCCGCATGTGCCCCGCATGGGCTGGGGACCGAACCTGCAACCCAGGTACATGCCCTTGGCCAAAAAGTGAGCCTGCGACCCTTCCCTGTGCAGGCTGACACTTGAACCCCTGAACCACACAAGCCAGGGCTCCAGCTTATTTTTAATAAACTTTTCCACTATATTTTATGCAACATTAGAGATCTTCTGCTAATAATAACCCATAGTAACTTTCCAGTTATGGAAACAAAATTTTTTAAACCTTGTGAACTTGTTAATTGTGTATTTGTACACGGAATGATCCGGTGAAGCTAAAACATTAGGAGGCTGCGTCCTGTTATTTTTAGAACTCTGTATCACTTCGCCCTTTTTGCCGGAGTGGTTCCTGGCTAACTTTCCCATGAGTTTTTAACCTTCTTGCTGGGCTTTGCTTATGTAACAGGAAACAGGCTGTCAGGAACAAATAGCGGCATATCAGGAGCACACGTTAGCAGCAAATGATTCCGTTTGCTCTGCCCCTCGCTCTCTTCACATAGCCCGGTCCATGCGCTCCGCCGTGGCACTTTGGGAGCGGCGTTCCTAGATTAAAACTGTACAGTTCCAATCTGGGGAAGGCCGACTCTGTGACCATGACCATGACTGGATCCGGGCGACAGAGAAGATGAGCGTGCATTAGGGTGAACCCTGCGGCGGTGTCATGTCCTGGGACTGCGGGTTTAAGTACATCTTCGCCTTTTCTCCGACTCTGAAGGCAGGGGTGATGTGCAAGCTTCAGGGGAGAGAGGACATCGGGCGCATCGAGCTGGTCCAGAAGCTGGCGCGGGAGAACTGTCAGTTTTTGCAGACGGACAGAAAAGAACAGGACAAATCTGAACACGTAAGCCCTCTTCCTCTTGCGGGTGCGGGTTTGAAAGGGTGGGAGATGTTTCTGCCTGGTTGTATGCTTGAAGGAAAGAACTTTTTATTTCAAATTCCTTAAGTTTTGGCTTTTTATGCCCCCCACACCTACCCCAAAAGCATCCTCCTTAGTAAAAAAAAATGACAGCTCCAGGCCAGTGGTGTATGACACTGGGTTTATAAGAGAACGCTTCTCAAAAGTAAATCACATAGAAATGTAAGAACACATGGAAGCAGCTATGAATGCATGTCAGCGTATGGTCCTGATCGGATGGCTTTCACGTTTGACTTTGGGAATGTCATCCTTTCAGAAAGTTTGTGGAATATGGACTTTTGAAAGAACGTGTGCTTTTTATGATTCGGACAAGGGTGGTTCTAGTCACCAAACAAATGTAATCCTAAATCCCTAGAAATAGACAAGATGAAAAGGAACAATTATAGATGCTCTCACCCAGCAGGACAGTCAGAAGGGAGTTTTCCCAGTGTCTTACGAATGTTTGTGTTCCAACAAGAGTTATATTGTTCGCACGTAGTGAAGCTGGAGGAAGGGCCGCTGTGCCGGGTCCCCCTGAAAGCAGTCATTCAGATGGAGCCTCAGAAGCGAGACCATGGCCTTCATGTCAGGGAGACAATGGAGCCACTTTCTTCTGCTGTACATTGTTGTCGGTTGACTTTTGCTGTTGTTTGTAAGCCTTCACTCTCAGTGCCGAGTTAGCCAGGGCTGCTCACGAAGGGAACATTCCTCTGTGCTTAGAAACATGTCTTTCTCTGACTTTAGTTTTTCCTTGGAATTTTGTTTTCCACCCTTTCCATGGGGGAAAAACGCCTCATGCCTTTTCTGCTCCAAGGCCATCCGTACCAAGGCCAGGCTTTCACTGGGCAGGCGAGGAGCCTGTTCCCGGATCGCAGGCTGGTTAGTGCAGTATCCACACCTCCCACCGTGTCCCTTCAGATCAGAGCAGTTCATGTTGCAAAGGACAAAAACCCTCACAGTTTTCGAGCCTCATTGCTGAACTGTTTTGGGGGTGACTCTGACTTGACAAATGGAGCTCTCTGGAGCCTTCCCTTCGCTAGGCACCAGTGAAAAGTTTAGGGACTTGTTTACATTGTTAAAAAGCGCCCTGAATGTTCACAACATCAAAGACGGACTCCTAACCCCTCCCATATCCTTAGCATATTTGAATATCCCAGCCCATGGCTTAAATTTCTCAAAAACAGTATTCCTTTTGATAAATCTTAAAAGAGCAACAGTTTTCACATGCCGTATTTCATTGATTTCAAGATGCACATCTCTCCCACCTTTTAGCATCTCTGAAATCAGGCCGAGTTTTAATGAATGATGACATAAAAGCATGTTGTAGTTAGGTGTGGGCATTTTTCTTTCCAACTGGCTCTTAAAATGAGTCTAAAATATATTTTTCAATGCATTGCATATTCAATTCAATGGAACAGCCATTACATATTCAATTCAAAGAAACAGTAGAGTACCACTTCACCAAGGTTAGGAATCATCAGCCTTAGGCCACAAACAACTTTATCCTTATTTAAAAGGTACCTGTGTTGTGTATGACTTACATTTAGTTCAATTCAGAATACTAGAATTAGAGCTATTGAGAACAGAATGCCCTTCGACTATGTCATAATAGGAATATGAACTTGGTGCCAATCATGGTAAAGATTTTTAATTTGAGATAGAAATTTAGTGGTAGGAGGTTTGCAACTCTGCTTATGTCATCTACTCTGTCATCTTCAAACTTGTAAAATAGAACACAAAGGTGTTTGTTTATTTTGTTGCTGTGTTTTGTTTTGTTTTTTTACTTCTCGCATGATGTCATAACAGGGATGCACTAACAGCTGAAGTGTTGGTGCTTCTGGGAGCAAAGATGGTGTCTAAATAAACATGGGAACTAAGGCTTTTTCTCTGGAGGCCTTTCCTACCGAAGCTGACAGCGAGGAAAGGTGAGGAGCTTTTCTCCTTGGTAGTGAATATAAAGGGAGACATTCTGTGCTCTCCTCCCTATAGGATGACACCAGTTGAACTAATCAGCTCTCATTGCTATTTTTCCTTATTTTTAAATGTTTTTATTTTTAATTTTTCAATCACAGTTGACATTTAAGACTATTTTATATTAGATTCAGGTGTGAAACTAATATACACACTTAGACAATCATATACCTGGCACCATACATAGTTATCACAATATTATTTACTATATTCCCTAAGCTGTACTTTATGTCCCCATGACTATTTTGTGACTTCCTATTTGTACTTCTTAATCCCTTCACCTTTTTCACCTCCTCCCCCCATTCCCTTCCCCTCTGGAAACCATCAGTCTGTTCTCTGTATCTCTGAATCTGATACTGTTTTGTTTGTTTATAGTGTTCTTTAGATTCCACATATAAGTGAAATCCTAGGGTTCTTGTCTTTCTCTGTCTGACTTATTTCATTTAGCGTAAAACCCTCTAGGTCTATCCAACCTGTTGCAAATGGTAAAATTTCATGGCCAGGTAATATTCCATTATATACAGGTACCACGTCTTCTTTATCCAATCATCTATTGATAGGCCCTTAGGTTGCTTTCATATTCAAGGCTGATATTCTTTGTGTGCTCTACTAAATGGATTATTTGATACTAGAAGTTTATTCTTTTTATAATAGTTTATTAGTAATAAGAACCATCTGGTAGGTTATATTACCCTTTTATGTCTTAAGCATTCAGTATATCAACCCCTGTACTTGCACGTTGAGTTCACAGTGTCCATGTGGTGCGTGCAGCATTTTTATTTTTCCTGCCCTTGTTTTCTTTTCAATAGCCGTCATCTGCTCTTACTCATGAAAACGCAGCTATAGCACACAGCATGTACAGAGGAAACTACAGTTTACTTAATGTAAACCCAGGTCTGCAGTTTCCTCCTCTTGTTATAACAATAGCAAAGCCTGAAATGACATACCGATTTCCTTTTTTATGTTTAGAAAATGCTTCATCTACTATTCCTGGGCCAAAGCCGGTTCAGAAGATAGCCATAAAATTCGAGTTAGAATCCAAGTTGCCTATCAAGTTATTCTTTTTACTAAACTGCATTGCTTCCCCAGTTCTGGAATGCCACATCCCTTTTTATACCTATGTGCCAACATGAGAAAGCTACTCGGAAGTAGCACTGCATAGAGAAAGACGAGAATTTGGTAGGATAAAGCTTTGGTTGCTGGTAGGCCTGGCTGCAAATTGAAGGGGCTCAGAGCTTCCTGAGGAGACATTTCTAATTTTTGCCATGATTATCATAAATGCATGCCATTAGAGGAAAGCTTCACTCTGAGCTTTTGCCAGGGTGTTTCTGAAATGAAAAAAAGTGAAATGTGTAATTATCACAAGTTTCTCAGGAAGCACCTGGTTTTCCTCTTTGCTATGAACTAGCTGTAGGCAAAATTACCCTGCACTTATTCCTAAGTGTTGAAAATTACGTGAGGACTTTAAGAAGGGGCCAGAAAAATGACTGTTTCTTCTAACTATTATGATAGTGAGATTAACATTTGGTCATTAATTATTTAAACAAAGTACTTCTTATATAGGCATCCTATTTCCTTAATTCTATGATTATACCAATAGAGAAGAGGGCATGTGTTACCAAATGGGAACTTTTGACCTTGACCTTGAAGGGTGACTGAAGGTCACTGAAGGGCAGGATGGGGAAGAGTGTGTTAGGCAGAGGGACCAGCAGGAAGACACATGAGTTGAACCCTGGGTGATTCATGGGGAAAGAAGGCAGTGGGATGGAGGAGAGGTTGGGATTCAATTATGAAAGACCCAGTAAGCCAACCTAAGAAGTTGAGACTTGCTTTTCTGGCAAAAGAAAGCCACCAGAGATGGGAAGTGGCATAATTAGACGTGGTCTTCATAAGCTCTCTCTCACATATCTGTAAAGGAAAAATTGAGTGAGGGAGATGAAAGTTTTGGAGGGAACCCTTGGAAAGCTATTGTAGTGAATCAAGTTGAAAGATGTAAGCCTACCCCAGGGAGGGGACTATGAGAAATAAGATGTAGGCGGTGAAATTGGCAGAATCTGATGACTGGTAAGGGATGTGTGTAGGTGTGTGTGTTATTTTATAGTCAGGATTTTTTGAATTTGTATGAAGGTTTTTCAGTACCGTGGTAGACATGAGAATGTTCTGTTTGTTGCCAGAATGGTTGTTCTCCTTTGTCGGAAAGATGCATAAGACATGTACCTTGTTTTGTTCTCCTGCAGCATGTCTCCTAAGGCACAGGATATTTATCTCACCAACAAATTGTTCCATGGGGTTCTGGCTAACAGTGTGGGCCCTACATAAACTTCCTTCTTAGACCAGACTCCTTGACAGAACCTTAGCCGGAGAGAATCCCTGGAAGCCCCAGAATAAACTGGATTATTTGGCCAAGGGCTGGCATGTGCTGCGATGATGTGTGTGCCATCTTCAGAACTCACTGTGGCTTTAGGGGCGCTCTCCTGACCCACAGGGTCCAACCAGGGGTGTTGCTCTATTTCAATTTGACAGATCAGGAAGCTGAGGCCACTGCTTGAGCACGCAGAGCGGGGCTGAGCATGAACTCAGTCTGATGGCCTCCGCAGTCACCTGTTGGGGGGAGGACTGAGAGGAGGATGGAAGCTAAGAGGATTAGAATCATGATAGTTCTGAGCACGAGGGCCGATTTGGAGGACAGTCCTGCAGGAGAGACAGAATGATAACTTACTGAAAAGGTGGGGGCAGGTGTGAGAAGGACCAAAGGAAGAGGAATGCAAAGGGACTTGCTTCCTTGGAGTCCTAACTCAGATATGAGAAGCTTACACACTGTTCGGATTTTATCAGTGATGTAGCTGTATTAAAATATACATTTAGCTACGGGTCCGTTCTTCTGGAATACAACTGCACTATTTACTAGACAGCCAAAACTGCTTTTCCCTAGATGTAGTATATGCTGTGTGCTGTGTTAATGAACTTGGACAGTG